TGCTGCTTGGTCGCTGATGAACAGGCACCAACCTTTCCTCTGCCTCAATTTGCCAATCTTCCAACCTTCTTACGATCTGCAGAAAGTTCCGGAATTCCTTCGCTATGGCGAGCAGCAGAGAGACAATATCGAAAGCCCTGTTCTAAACTACGTGTGGTAGTATAGTAAGTAGTAGTCGTTTAGCCGTAACATCCTTTCGGCTCCCAGATACCACACAAAATGAAGGAATAACGAGGGTTAAGCCTGAACCAGAATACCAAACCAAGAGTAATCGAGATGCTGGGGTTGGATTCAAACCACGGACTTCTGAGCAAGTGGTGCGCGGCTTAACCACTAAGGATTCTTGAGCCACTTAGACCGGATATTAACTTTAAAGCGAGGATAAACAGAGAAATGTCAGCTTATCCTATTTCGAGGGAACCTCGCGTGTCGGCGTAGCAACAGCCACTATCTCCCAAAAGTAATTGTTCTTGGCATACTGTCGCCTAAGAGGATTTCTGGTCAAGGGCATATAAACACAGCCGGGAAAAACTGCCACGGAAACAAGAGGTAATATTGTTGAGAAAGGACCCCCGTAGAATCCGGTGACATGTGAATAAAAGTTACAATCTACAGGTTTTAGAAGGCATGTTAGTGAACAAAGGTTTCCGGTGAATGTTGCTCCAAAGGAAGAATCGTCGGATAAGTCTGTTCATCAACGCGTCTTTTATGACTCCATGGGACTCCTTCTTTTGTTTCGAATGGCCTACTGACGTCTGTAAACATTTGAGGTCTCTACATCCACGTCACCTCAAGCGTCGTTTGTGGTAGAATAGACATTTATATACAGACTTTTCAACTTACTTGGCGGATGTCGTACAAGGCTACCACACCTTCCATGCTTCCAGAATAGAGAATATTAGGGTCAGTGTTCGATGCTACCATAGCTTTCACCGGTTCTTTACCAGTGCCCATGAAGAACTGAGCTGTCTGTGTCCCCAGCGAGACATCCCATATGCGGACGCAAGCATCCGCGCCTGCACTGGTAGCGTGATGTCCGTCAGCGAAAAACGAGACCGCATTTACACACCTGAAAGCAAGTAGCACAATAACCGGCCGGTTGGCCAAATTTACCTACGCTTTGTGTATCGTCATTTTGCGCAGGTGATAGCTGTTTTTGTCTGTCGTGCAGATGCGTACGGTACCATTCTCCTCACCAACAATCACCAGCTTACCGTCGCTTCGAAACTGACAACAGGTCACCCGAGAACCATAGCCAGAAAGCTTTCGATACAGTTTGTCCCCATCGCATTTATACAGGTAAACCTACGATGCAGTTAGCCACAGGCGTACGACTAAGTACCTTATGTCCGCATGGTATGCAGAATCTTTTGGGTCCTTGGGAACACACTGAAATTGAGTTGACACGAGTAGTCAGTTGGACATCACGACCATTCTGACGAAGGGATGAAAAAAGAAGTAGACAGATACCTGAAATAACTGCCACACGTCCGAACCTTTTATCTGACACTGATAGGGCGCCACAACGCTGTACGTTTTGGAAACCATGTTGAGCAGAGGAGGGTGAGTTCTGAAACAATAAAAAACGACGGCAACATGGAGATAGGCAGAGTGAATTTAAAGGTGATAGGAATGCGGTCATACAGAAAGGAAATCAGTTTGATAACTGATTTTAAGGCTAACGACTTTCCGATCGGTTAACGTCCTTTTAAGTATGGAAATCCTGAACGATGAGCCTTGCAGACACTTGCATGTTGGAGGTTTCAAACGGAGCATCCACAGAAACTTAAGAGGCCCATC